GAAAAATCTTCATGGCATTGGATTTGGCAATAATTTCTTAGATGTGACACCAAAGGCACAGGGAACAAAAGGAAAAATAGACAACTTGGACTTTATCAAAATTAAAACTTTTGTACATAAAAGGGTACTATCGAAGCAAAAAGGCAAGCCACAGAATGGGAAAAAACATTTTCAAATCATATTTCTGATAAAATATTAATATTCAGAATATATATAAAACTTCAAAAACTCAAAAATAAAAAGAAATCCAATTCAACAACGGGCAAAGGACTTGAACAGACGTTTCTCCAAAAAAGATATATGAATGGCCACTAAGTACATCAAAAGATGTTCAACATCTTAGTCATTAGGGAAATCCATATCAAAACCACAATTAGATATCGCTTCACATCCATTAGGATAGCTATTATGCAAAAATAGAAAATAGCAAGTGTTAACAAGGATGTGGAGAAACTGGGACCCTATGTACTGCTGGTGGCAATGTAAAATGGTGCAGCTGCTATGGAAAACAGTATGGTGGTTCCTCAAAAACTTAAAAATAGGGACCGGCCTGGTAGCATAGTGGTTAAGTTTGCGCACTCTGCTTTGGTGGCCCAGGGTTCTCAGGCTCGGATCCAGGGCATGGACCCAGCACTGCTCATAAAGCCACACTGAGGCAGCATCCCACATAGAGTAAAGGAAGATTGGCAAAGATGTTAGCTCAATGACAATCTTCCTCAAGCAAAAAGAGGAAGATTGGCAACAGATGTTAGCTCAGGGCCAATCTTCCTCACACACACACACACACACACAAATCAGTAATAGAATTACCATATGATCCAGCAATTCCACTTTTGGGTAGACACCCAAAACAACTGAAAGTAGAGACAGATACTTGCACACTGATGTTCATAACAGTGTTATTCACAAGAGCCAAAAGGTGGAAGCAACCCAAGTATCCATAGACATTTACACGAGACTACAGAAAGGCAAAAAAGCAATCAGAACTTCAATGAGAAAAGTAATCTCCAAACTATTGTTCTGGTTCTGATACCTCATATAAAGCATCAAAAATTAAAACAGCAGTTGATTGACCTATTTCTATATTGGGGTTGAGGAGGTCCAAGGAAAAACCAAAACACAGGGGTCAAACACTGATAAATTTTACAAAATAAAATTTAAAATTTCTATACTACAGAAGATACTATAAACAAAGTAAAATTCCAAATAGGAAACTTGAAAAAATTTCTGCAATACATGTAACAGTTAATACATTTAAGAGGAGTTCTTAAAATAATAGAAACAGAAGGAACACCTCAATACATACAAAGAGTAGGGAGAAAACTTATGTAAGAAATACAAAATCCATCTTCACTAAAAATAAAAAATGATTAAAATGAAAACAATTATGTTTATTTTTGCCAACGGTTTATCAAAAAAATTTCAATGATAACATCTAATTCTGGCTAAAATATAGGAGAGAATGGCACTATAAGGATTTACAAGAATAAATACACAAAGACATGTGTATAATCCACTTACTATAGCACTGCTCTACAGACAAAAAGTGAAAAATATCCTAAATGTCTACTCATAAGGAAGTAAATATAAGTAAAAGAAGATAAAATAGATTTCTATGTATTGATGTAGAAAGTTACCAAATTGAAAGTGAAAAGCTGATTTTCTCATTTACTCTTCTACCATACCTAGGCATTATCCCATTTTACAGATGAAGTAAACTGAGGCATAGAGAAAGAAGTTAAGCAAATTCCCTGAGCTGCAATTCAAGCCTGTACTAAATAAGTTAATACAGATATGGCATTTATCATAGTGTAAGATCATAGTACAGACTTAACAAATATTGGTTAAAAGTTGTTACAGGAGTAATATAAAGCTTGATAATTGAGTTATCAATATGCTAAAATACTAAATCGTCATCTAGAAAAAACAAATACCCTACTTTAAGGAGACCATTTTAATTTACATTTCCTATTCACTCTTGATGTTTTCTATTATTCCTTTATTTTTGGCATAAAACACAAGATTTGTTTTTCCTGCATAATTCCATTCAGGTTGTCTTATAGTCAGTAATAACAGTTCTGAACACTAATGACAGGCTAAGGCTAGAGTAAGACTTTCAGCCTTTATATAACATTTCTCCATGTGTATTATCAAGGGCACAAGTACTAGGTTTTCAGGGGAAACTTCCTCAGTTTTCAGTCATAGCCTCCATTGTTCAACCTACCAATTTTTAGTTGCTACTTGACATTCCATCTTTGTTACACGAGTTGGTGTGTTTACCAGTAGCAGAACAATAACAATAACGTCAGAACATCACATCTCCTCGTGAGAAGATCTAAATAATTTCTATTTACTCTTCCTGATTGTGAGACAGACAGGCTGGGAGGAGGGTGGTTACAACATGAGTCCCATCCTTGAGCCTACTCTGTGTTCACCCTGTATTTCATTTCTAACGTGCCACAGCTACTGAAGCAACGGTACAGCCATACTTGCAATTTACTTCCATGAGGCACTCTAGATTCTCCTCAAAATGAACTCATTTTACGGGAAGAGAGAACTAACGCTTGTTCTAAGGAGTGCAGAACTCCTCCTTAAACCAAAAAGTAATACTAATACGGCTGTGACAATTGCCTTGGCAGCACTGGTAATGGCAACCAAGGGTGCAGTGATCTCAGGATCAGACATTGGCATCCTCACGGTAGAAGACTTCAGTAGCATCAATACAGCAACAGCCTTTTTTTTCTTTTTGAGGAAGATTAGCCCTGAGCTAACATCTGCTGCCAATCCTCCTCTTTCTGCTGAGGAAGATTGGCCCTGAGCTAACATCCGTGCCCATCTTCCTCTATCTTATATGTGGGATGACTACCACAGCATGGCTTGCCAAGCGGTGCCATGTCCGCACCTGGGATCCAAACCGGCGAACCCCAGCCCCTGAAACGGAACATGCGAACGTAACCGCTGCACCACCGGGCCGGGCCAGCAACAGCCTTTAACGGCACTTTTGATATCAGCAGCAATAAGAGAGACACAAAAATAATGACTACCATTTATTAATCACCTACTAAGTCCCAGGCATTATATTAGGGGCTTTACACAGGTTATCTCCTTAAATCTGCACAATAATCCAATTAAAGTGTGTATTATTATCGCTGTTTTAAAGATAGAAGAAGTAACTTGCCCAAGGTAAGTCAGCATGTTAGCAGTACTGCTAAGATCTGAATCCAGATGTCTGGCTCCAAAGACCATGCCTATTCCAAATGGAAGAATCAAAGAATATTACCACCATGAGAAAGAATTTTCAGGGCCCACATCAAATACCACCTGGAAATTTCGTAACTATTTAGAAAGGACTTGAGGAGAGCTAGAGTTCTCACTGAAGAGACTTTACAGACAGTCAGAAATTTTAGACCTATATTATTAAACCGTAGCCCTAGATTGGTATAAAGCCGAAAAGTACAGATTATAATTTGATAGTTTCACAGAATCCTCACAATAGTGCTATTTTTCATAACAACATGAATGTGCACTGAGGTCATATGAATTCATCTTAAGTGACTTTTTTTATAGAAAATATCTTCAATAATAATTTTTATTTGTATCATATTTTGTGTGCACAAAGAATTCTCACATATGAGATTTAAAAGAGATAAACAATTCTATGAAAGTCATTCAAAATTATTTCTCTTTTTATAACTCAGGAAACCAAAGCTCAAGGTTAAATGACATGAATATTAACCCAAGTGCACAAAACAGTAGGTACTGAGCTAAGCACTGGGTATAAAGGCAAATAAGACATGCTCTCTCCTTTAGGAGCACATGGAATAGTAGAGGAGGCAGAAATAAGCACCTATGGTATACAATGATAAATGCATCTCTAATATCTCTAATTACACATTAAATTTATTAGTAACTGGATAATACCACTGAAGCTTTCATGTTTTTCAGCAAATCCAGAAAGAGACCTATAAGGTATAAAGTTAAAATTGTCACTGACAATTTACTAAGTAGAACTCAGGTGAAAACATAAAATATTCTCCAAAAGGAGAATAATTCCTAAAATGTATAAATTCATAAGAAATAAACTGAGTTTAAAAAATAAAATGTGTTAGAAATATATTTGTCACAGGTCTTTAAAAAGACAACAGTAAATACTCTTTAATGTAATTAGTCTTACAAGAGAAATACAAACCAGAAGTTACCTTTGGATGGTTCAGGGCCAAAAAAAAAAAAGACCAGATCAATAATTTTTCACTCAGATCAAAATATTTATTGTACTGGCTGAAGACCAAAAATTAAAAAGAGAAGTTCATGGTAAATGAAAATTAAAAGATCCAGTAGTGTTTACTAATTGACACGCCCTAGCTTTTCCCACACTTTCTTCTTTACAGTCCCCACATGAGACTCTCCTGGAGCTTAAAACAAAAGCAACTTCAGGTTTCCATTTCTCTCATTGGCAACAGTAAGCCACGTTTGCTAATGGAATTCAGCTATCTCAAATCATTTTTGTGAGGAATGCATTCAGCCATTTATTCAGCAAATATTTACTGACCACTAAGTACCAGGTACAGTTCTAGATTCTGGATATAAAAACATTAAATAAGACAAGATGGAGAGATGGATGGATAGATAGAAGAATGTACAGTCAGATGGACAGATAGGACAGAGGAGGAGGAGGAACAGACAGATGTCAGGGGAAGGTATTTCAATTATACTAAACAAATAAAATGAAATAATAAAATAGATAACTAAATTTCCATTAAGAGTCTGCATCTATTTTCCCAAAACACAAGTAGAGTGACCGGCACTTTTTGAAATTGATTATTAGCCATGGACTGTTGGTTCCAACAGCCACTCTGGTCACCAGGGGAGAAAAGTCACACTAGCCATCAGAATATATGTGCCTCACATTTAGCAATAACATATCGGTGGGGGAAGAATAGAGGCGGGCTCATGAGAGTAAGTATAGTGCTTATTTTGAGTAAAGTTATCACTAAACATACCTTTTAGATAAAAAGGAGTTCTTGAGAGGATTTAGATTCTGACAAGAGTCTAGGCTGCCATCAGATGATGAAGAAAGCTGCTCTGATTGCATGTCGTCTGTATCACCCAAACTGGCCTCAGTTACAGATGAGGTCTTTATGTATTTTCTTCCTAACTCCGTTCCCAGGACATTCGTCAATATAACTCTGGGTATCCTGTCACACAAAATAACAAACACTGTACTATACTGAAGTTTGCAGTAAAAAACGTATTCTAGGAAGCTGAATTTTCAAACATTGTCATCGTAGCACAAGTAAGTTATCAGAACTATATCACCCTAGAAATTAACCCACAAATATTCAAAATTTTAGATGAACATATTTGTTTCCTGAAGCACCTGTGTCTTATACACTGGCATAGATTAGCCTGCCACTAATAATGGCTTTAACTGTACTAATGGATGCTATTGAGGTGTTTAAAATTTTAACCAATTTTTCTCAAAAAATGCTTTATTTTTCTTTCCCAGTAGTTATTAAAAACACAGTTTACTACAAACCAATTCAAGACATCTTTATTCTTCTCATTCAACAGAAAGGTCCTTGATAAGTAATTACATAGATTGACAAACAACAAATGCTAAATCCAACAAGAAAGACATCATTCAGATTGTACCTATGGTAATGACAGATTCCATAAGCGAAACAGCTTATCAATATGTCAGTAGCAGCACTTTACTGACCCTTTGCAACAGGTAACACTGAGGAAGGGCCAGAGGACTTTTGTTTAAGTGAAAACCATGAGCTTCCCTGTACTCATGAGATTTGCTGTAGCACTTAGAGGGATTCTTTATTTTCACTACATAAAACCAGTAGGTTCTTTTCACTATGTTCCAGACAGCAGAGAATTTCATAAATCAGGAGAACTTTAACATAATTTAGTCATATTTTTATTTTAAACGTGAAGAACTCAAAGCTCAGAAAAGTTAAATGGTTGCCCAAGTATAAATAACTCTTCCTAGTAGAAGAAGCCAGGCCTACTATCTTCTTCTTTTTTTAAGATTGGCACCTGAGCTAACAACTGTTGCCAATCTTCTTTTTTTTTCTTCTTCTCCCCAAAGCCCATCCCAATACATAGCTGTGTATTCTAGTTGTGGGTCCCTCTGGTTGTGCTATGTGGGACACTGCCTCAGCATGGGCTGATGAGCGGTGCCATGTCCGCACCCAGGATCCGAACCAGCGAAACCCTGGGCCGTTGAAGCGGAGCATGCGAACTTAACCACTCGGCCACGGGGTCGGCCCCTAGGCCTACTATCTTTTGGTTTTCTAATTTTATTCCATGACACTGTATCCTCAGGACTAACTTGCCAAAAGATCCAGATAAATGAGCTTTTCTACAGATACTTCAGGAAACTCTTGAAAAATCTCCATTTCCAGCACAACCACCACCATAAATATCGCAAAGATTAAGTAGTAGATATGACCTAAAAACCAAGCCTGGTAGTAAATACAACTCCCAGAACTCAGAGTTTGAGAGAAGAAAGAAAGGAAAGGACGTCTGCCATCTAGCACAACCACTAACTGTGAGGAAGGGAGCAAAGCCTGTTTTCTCTCTCATCTCATAGGATTTAAATCTCTAAGGATCCTATTCAGTATTGTCTGCTTTGTGTATTTGATGCCTGACAGAACCCTCCTGGATTTGAAGTGGGGAGGGTGGCAATATAGGATCAAAAAGAAGTCTCAAGATTTCTGTTCTCTGACCTCACACTAGGAATTGCGATGAAATGAATTGCTAAACAAAACTCAACTGGTTCTCAATACTTCAAGAAAATTAAGGAACATTAGCAGAATTTTATTCAAGTTAGAACTATTTTTCCCAATAAATATTTTAGTGTAAATAAAATTTTACTTAAAGAGATGAGAGAATCTAATATTCTAAACTGATAACTCATTTTAAGAATTGATGATATACTCTTTTTATGATCCCCTATCATTGCCGAACTCTAAAATTTGATTCACAATAAAAGTAATCCAAAAACTGTAGTATTTAAGTAAAGAGAACATTTGGGGCATATAAAGAGACACACCAGTGGAATGTCAGCTATCATTCAGTATCTCTGTTTAAACGCCTGCCCATAGTTTAAATGTTCTAAATGTTGATTCCCTTAAAAAAGCTGTCTCTCCAAATAGGGCAGACGGAGTCCAGAGAAGATTAGTTTTGCACAAAGTATCAAAGAGAATAAACAACAACAAAAAAAGTATAAATATCAGCAAGGAAAGGGAAAACTTTTAAAGATTACAATTTTCTGCTGAATTGTAAACAATCACTCTATTCTTGTAGGTTTGTTTTGCTGCTAGATTTTGGAGAAATAAAAAGCAAAGAAGAGATATGAAAAAAGACCCTTGGAGAATAAATGAGACCTTTTAAATTAAACAAATAGCTAAAAGCCTTTCCTAAAAGAAAAAAATTTCAAAATTCACCCAAAAACTGTTTGAAAAGATTATCTATCAAGCTGCAGCAGCCCACATCTCTAAAGCACAGGAGCCCTGGAGGCCTCCGCAGCTATCAGAAGGCTCAAGGAACTGTCTCGGCTCGTCTGCGGGGGACACCCTCCAATGAGAAAGCACTCTACTACCACGTGAACAAATGCCACAAGGGAGAGACTGAGAGCAAGGAGAATATTTACAGGTTAATAAATGAGATCTCATATAAAATACCTAATAAAGTCCAATGCCTGCTTACACAAAACATTACAGTTCATGGGAGGGAAAAGCAGTTGGCACAGGGGTTAAGAGCAAGGACTCTGGAGTCAGACAACAACAGGTCAGGTCCTGATTTCAGCACTTAATAGCTACATAACCTTGAGCAAGTTATTTACCATAATTAATGACTCTTATCATTGATTTCCTCATCTCTAAAATGGGGAGAATAGTATCTACCTTACAAAGCTGTTAAGATTAAATGAGATAGATGTAAAGCAGTTAGCACAAGTCCTGGCACACAGTAAGTACACAATAAATGGGAACTCCCTAATTTTCCTATTATTGAAGTCTTACTCAAAGTTACATATTATCTTTTCAAATAGTGCTTGTCATAATTTATCATGCTCTGCAATCTTGACGAAAATACCTTATTAGAAAAGTACATAATTAAATAATTAGCAATGCCTATAGTATACCCAGTTCTTCATAACACACAGCCATAGCCCAAACGTCTTTCAGCAACCATGTGCACCTTCTGCAATCTGAGTACCCTGAGGAAACAGAGAGCTTTGTATGGCAGGCTCACAGAACACAAATCTAGAAAGTGATAATTAAGTTCACAATATCTAAGCTGTCTTTTGATATACGACTGTATAAATTAGCACTGCCATGGAAATTCCAGGGCTAGCAAGCATTTCAAAAGATTCGGAATTTTCACAAGAAATCTATATGGTGTATACTTCATCTCTCATACTATCTCAATATGGAGGAAGGACTGAAAATCATCATTTCACAGAGTCTATCCAATTTTTTTCCCAAGTATATAAATAGTATTGGTAGGTAAAATAAAACAGAATTTGTTTAACTTTACTTACTAGTATTATGAAATCACACTTCAAAATATAATATTGTAAACCAAAGCAGAAGCACATTTTGTAATGCAGTGAGATGAAGCAGAAAGTACACTGGCCTAGGAGTAACACCATTTACTGATCGTGTCTCTGCATGCTTATTCTATCTGATTCTTAATTTTCTCAATTACAAATTGTGGGTTCCTTCCCTACATAAGTAGCAAGGTAAATGCAAGATTCAAATAATTTAATAAATGGGGAGGAACCTTGAAAAACTGATGAGAGCTATTAATATAAACTTCACATCAAGAAGGAATTTTTAAAGAAATGGAACACCTGTTGAAAGATAACATAATTATATCTGGTAATAAAGGTATAATATAACAAGCAAAAAAAATTACAGTACTAATTTAGTTTTCATTTTGTGGTAATTAAGATGAACACCTTACTAAAATTCTGCTATGTGACATTTTAATAGAGTTCTCATAAATCCATTCTTATCCCAGAGGATATAATTCAAAATATACTTTCTAAATCAGTTTCTTAAGCTATGTGGAGAAAAAAATTTTAATTTTTGAATAACTTTCTTAAAGAGATTCACAGATTTTCTGAATTTGCCCTTTTACTAAATTTTAAGTGAATAAATTATCACTCAAGTAAAATATTACTGGCTTAAAGAAATCTTAAGGTGACAGGAATACTGTAGTGTCCAAAAAGTCTTACCATCACAATATCTGGAATACATAATTTGTTTTAACTTGAAACATATGTAAATTTAAGAAAAAATGAATAAATATAATTACACCATTTAGAGAAATTCCAAGAACCAGGAGCTAACTTTTTTAATGGAATATGGGTACACTGTCTCCATATTTCTCTAACAATCACTGGTGCCAATTGATGAAAGCAAGAGAAACATGGTTTATTTCCTCAAAAGCCTTGTATGTGTGTCCCACTAGGCTCTTATTTGCCTAATGACCAAGGTTTACAAATGTATGGAAATTTTCTCCCAGGAAAACAGATGTGAACCACATACGGAGACAAAACCTACACTAAAATGTGGTTTACTTATTTAAAAAAAAATTTGTCAGGGGCTGGGCCATGGCCTAGGGGTTAACTTCAGCACACTCTACTTCAGCGGCCTGGGTTCAGTTCCCAGGCGTGGACCTACATCACTTGTTGGCAGCCATGCTGTGGCAGCGTCCTACATACAAAATAGAGGAAGACTGGCACAGATGTTAGCTCAGGGCAAATCTTCCTCAAGCAAAAAGAGGAAGATTGGCAAGAGATGTTAGCTCAGTGAATCTTCCTCAGACAAAAATAAATAAATAAATGTGTACATTCCATATGCTGCCAGTTTGATATTTCTAAAACTCTTGACTCTTTTCTTCATTATTTAACAAGATTGATTTGGACCATGTGTTTTCTGTTTTTCTTCTCAATCTTATCCAGAAATTAAAAGGCTAAATTGTCCTCACATAAAAGGCAACAGACTTAGATCACTACCTTTAGATCCTAGAATGCAAATAAAATTTCTTAAAAAATGCTATTTCTGGGATTGAATGAGAAATTTTGGTTTACTCAAGTTAAACTTTAAGATAAAATTAAAAACCAAAAATACATTTTTCTCCCTGTCATCTTTCTGAAATAATAAAGTCTTAGCTAAATAAAAATGAAAATAAGACAAAAAGCATCATGTCAGAGTTAAGCAAAGACTGAAGAAAGCATTGAGTCTCCTATTCCAGATAACAAGTCCCAGATAGAAAACATCTATCCAAAGCCATACCCTAAACAGTTCTCCAATTTTCTTACTTGAAGCTTGTAATATCTCATTTCCTGGTTGTCACCAAAATTACAGAGAAAATAATTGGAAAAATACATTTCAACCAGAGAGACTAGAGATGAGAGACTGCTGAGCAGCAGTCTCTTTCTTGGATTCAGCAAACACTTACTGAACATTGTGTATGTGCCCAGTACTATGCTAGGTACCAGCAACAGAGGGAAAATAATCAAATGTAGTCCCTGTCCTCAAGAAGCTTACTGTCAGGGAGGCAGAGAAACTAAAAATCACAACACAGGGTGATGAGCGCTAGGATATATGAACAAGACGCTTAACAAGACAAAGAAAGGGATCAAATGCAGATGTGGGCGCTGGAATCAAGGAAGGCTTCCCAAGAAGATGGCATTTGAGCTCAATGTCAAAGACCAACAGAAGTCAGTAAAAGGAAAAAGGAGAATTGTTCCAAGGTAAGAGAACAAACAGCATTGTACATTCAGTGAGCTACCAGTGGTTCCCTAAGTCTAAAGCCCAGCATGAATGTGGAGGAGCGGACAGACACAGGCTAGAGACAGGCAAAGGTGAGATCAATAAGGACCTTACATGCCAAGCTAACGAGTTTAACTTTATCCTGAAGGTTATGTGGAGCCACAGAAAGATGTTAAACTAGAGAGTGACAAGTAATATCTGCCTTTTAGAACGAATACTTGGGCAACCATACAGGGAAATGACCAAGAAGAAAAAGACTGTGCACAGGAAGCCCAAGCAAGTTACTGTCGTAGTAATAAAGGCACAAGGTTCTCAGGGCTTCAACCGAGGCAGTGGCAAGAAAGATGAAGAAGAGATCATTTCAAGACACATTTTGGAGGCAAAAATAACTAGACATGATAAATGACTAGATACGAAGGGTACGGAAGGAAGAGAAGTCAGGACAATTCCCAAGTTCTAATTTGGAGAATTGAGTGTAGGGGAGTCATATACTCAGACAGGGAGGGGATACAGAAAGAGGAACCAGTCTGAGAACAAAGATGATGCATTCACTTTGGAACAAGTTAAATTCAGAACACTAGGAGCAAGGAAAAAGGTTGGACTAGCTGGTAGTTCACCCCAGAAAGTGAACAGGAAAAAACACACACACAGTAAAAATCAAATTACAATCTTATTGGGACTCTTTACTTCATATTATATTTAAATTTCATGAATACATAATCTAGCTACCAACAATTCCTGGTGAGAAAAACTATTGTTCTGAGAGACTAGAGCATATTACACTGTTCTAATCACACTCTTCTAACTGAAAAAGGACACCCGTGGGATGATGGGCTGATAAGCTTGCAGTTGTCATCTGGAGGGAAGGCAAAGCTTCTTTTCAAAAGAGCTAGAGGGACTGGAAAGGTCTTCCTTTAGCGAGCCCCTTCACTGAGACTCTCAGCACGGTCAGGGAACAGTTCACCTGTACTAAGGAGGAAAAGCACAGAATCCAGGAGAATGAGAGCAAACTGCTTCATAAATTACTCAAGCTAACTTGTCCGATTCTAAGATTTAGGGTGCTTTAGAAAGTTAAATTTACATCAGGTATGATTTAGTAAGGGAATTCTCGTTACTTAGCTTTTTACGTCTTTGGCTTTTTTAAAAGAAGTGTCCTTTTTTAAAAATTAATGTGTAATACACTGTTCAGACGTTTTGACAGAGTTCAACTTTTATTTTAAAAATAATTGTGTTGAAAGTTGGCAGTTGTTATCTGGATCTTGGCTTAAAGCACTTATATTCTGTCATTCAGATTATGACCATATTACCAAAGCTAATGACAGGTTATTCTAATTGAAAGCAAAGTACTTCCCCACAAAAAATATTCATTTAATGGTTAAAACTGCAAATGGAAATATATTAAAAATATTATGCTAGAGATCACAAATTCCCAGAGCTAACTCCTAGTTTTCAGCCCCAAACTCCATACACAATTTTTTTTAAAAATACAAAACAAAATTCGTCTTGTTAGTTTTCAAAATTAAACTGCATATTTATTACTAAAAATCTGGGGGTAATGTTTCAATACCATCTCCTTTTTAAAAATATGTGTAAAATAGAAGAAAGCTCACAAAGTCAAAAATAGTAAGGACCTAGATTAAATAACATTTAAAAGGTATGCTAAAGACACATTTTTTATTTTCTGTATATTTAACATATCTTTTAAGTGTTATTTAATCTAGGTCCTTACCTATCTGTCTGGACAGTCATGCGCCGCATAAGGACAGGGATTCGTTCTGAGAAATGCATCATTAGGTGACTTTGTCATTGTGCGAACATCATGGAGCGCACTTACACAAACCTAGATGGTACAGCCTACTACACACCTAGGCTATAAGGTACCAAGCTTAAGGGACCGTTGTCATATATTCGGTCTATCATTGACCAAAATGTCATTATGCGGTGCATAACTGTATATATCTCTTAATTTTATATTATAAATGACTCTCTCAAAATACGTATACGTGAATCAAATTATACAGTAAGTTAAATGTACTAAGGATACTTTTTTAAAAAATAATTCTACGTCAGTCTACTTAACAAAGTGCAAAACTATCATTAACTTAGTAAATTAAGATTGTCAGTTTTAAGATTTGCTTTAGAGTGGGGCACACCTGTATACGCATATTTTCTTAAAGATCATTTCTAACAATCTTATTGTTAAAACTACTGGACTTATATTATTGCAATTGTGGTAAGTTGAACAAAATCAATACTGAACAACATACCTTTCAGAAAAATTAAGGCTTTGGTGAAGAAGTTCTAATTTTGGACATGTCTCTAGGCTGTCAACAGATGTCGAAGGCAATGAGTCTGAGTGCACCTTGTTGGCATCACATAAATTAGCATCGTTTCTAGGTAGGGTCTTTCTGAATTTTCGTCCTAAATCCGTCCATAGGACATTCGTCAACATAACTTTGAGTTGCCTGTTACACATATAAATAATTAATACATAAGTACTAAACATTGTATAACACATGAATTCATCACAATCTATAACAAATACAAACCTCCAGGAATTCTAAATTTCAGTTCTTCAAGCAATTTTAACTAGAGTAGTAAATAACATAAGTAAAAAATTTGCCTAACCATTCTCAAATATACATTAAAAAGTAAAGCTAAATTCACTTAAATTGGGATTTTCTTCAGAATTCTGTCTGGTAAACTACAACTATGGTCACATACACATATAGCTGTTAGATTCCTGGTAACTGATATGTGCCTATCCCCACTGTTAGTGGAACAATAACACACATCTGCACATCTCACCACAGAGGCAACCACCTTTCTTCACTAAAAATGTGTTTCTGTTTTAGCATTTTTTGATTCAGAAAACATTATAAAAACTAAGGGTGCAATAGTCCATCATCTACAGTCTTAAGCCTACATAGTCTCAAGATAGAGATTTAATTTTACCTTATTTTTAAAAATGGTCAATTTAAAACATTTACTTTTACCGTACCTAAACCAATTTCAAAAGTAAAACTGATAAACGCAAGCAGTTCCAGCTTTTTGCCTCATTACATTTTGCTCATTACTCATTCAGTACATCTTTGTCTTGACAACACTTGAAGAACTGTGTTCAGTTCTGGAACCATGAAGTACAGCTTTTGCAGCGGTGTGAACAGGCTGTCACATGGCCTTGAAACAATGTCAAAGGAGGAATGGCTGCAAGAACTGGAAACGTTTAATCAGAAGAGTGTCTATTCTACTACCTGGGATCAGTCCTAGGTACTGTTTGCTCGTGTGTTTAACAAACATAAGAATATTAAGAATCAGAAAGCAAAATGCTCATGTATTTTTAAAATAAAACAGATCTCAAAGAAATCACTTGCTTGCAGCAGCCACTTGGGGCTGAATCTTCAGACTATCTGGAAAAAGGAGGGTACAAGTCTTCAAGAGAATCTCCACAGAATGCATTGAAACTCCAAATATTTTGAGGTTAAAAAAAAGCTTAATCTATACGTTTTAGAATTATCATTAAAGAGTAAAAAGATGAGTGACATTTCCATGAATGAATAATAATTCATTCTTCATTCAACAAATACTTACCAAATCTCTTCTAGCAAAACAACTATACTAATAGAATCTGGAGATCCAGCAAGGAATAAGACAGTTACAGTTCCTGCCTTCGCAGGGCTTACATTCCAGAGGAGACTTACCCAATTAATTATTTAATTACAACGTGATGAGTGATATGAAGGGAAAGTACAGATGCTGCACTCACAAACCGGGTCAGGGAAGACTGTACCAAGAATAGGACCTTTAAACTGAAACCTCAAAGGATAGGCACTATCCAAAGGAAACAGGCGGAAAACAGAGAGTGATCCAAAACGGGGGGACAAAATGCAAATGCTCTGATTGGGGTAAAGCTTGTTCAAGGAAATTAAAGGACTTACCTGGCTCAAGTGCTTACAGTGAGGAGGAAATTTGTACAAGATAAAGATGGGAAGTTAGGCAGGATCTTGTGGACTATATTAGGGATTTGAGACTTTATGCCAATACAATAGAAACCCACTAGTTTCAACAAGAGAATGAGATCAGAGCTGCATTTTTGAAAGATCACTTTGATCTTCTATGAAGAATGAACTGGAAGCATTAAGGATAAAACACAATAACCATGAGTTTAGAGAGGTAATGGTGACTGACTTTATCAGGGGTAGTTTAGTGGAAGGGTCGGAGCAGAAACTAGAATACAGGAGGACAAATAAACGGGAAAGGAGGAAAGGGACAGAGCAAATGCAGGCAGTTGACACGCTGTGAAAGGGAGACACAGTGCAAGAGGTGAAGACAGACATGAAGTGCTGGAAAGATTTTCTTAGTTATTGGTTGGTTAGTCAGCTTAAGATAGGAAATATTTGGGGCCCTGTGGCTGAGGGGTTAAAGTTCTGCACGCTCCACTCCAGTGGCCCAGGTTTACAGGTTTGGAACCCAGGCACGGGATCTACTCCACTTGTCAGCCATGCTGTGGAGGCATCCCACACGGAAAATAGAGGAAGACTAACACGGATGTTAGCTCAGGGATAATATTCCTCAAGCAAAAAGAAAAAGAGGAAGATTGGCAATGGATGTTAGCTCAGGGATAATCTTCCTCACCAAAAAAAGAAAAAAAAGAGAAAATATTTGTGTAAGTTTAAGTGCTCATGGGAAGAGGTCAACAGAGTGGGAGAGGTTGAAGATATGCGTGACAAGATAATTAACACAGTAAGTTTCCTAAGAAATGGCATAATAAGAGCTAATATTCATTGAACATTCACTATATACCAGGCACTATGCTAAGCATTTTACAACGATTTATTTAATTTAATCCTCACAACTGGGGCTGGCCTGGTGGCATAGTGGTTAAATTTGGTGTGCTCTACTTCAGCGGCCTGGGTTCACAGGTTCAGATCCCAGGCATGGACCTACACCACTTACCAGCCATGCTGTGGCAGCGACTCACATACAAAACAGAGTTAGACTGACGATAGATGTTAGCTCAGGGTGAACCTTCCCCAGCAAAAAAAAGTCCTCACAACTACTCTATGGGGTACAACGGTAATTATTAATCTTCTACAATTGAGAAGACCAAGACAGAATGATTAATGACTAAGCCCACAGTAAAATGAGTGAGTAGTAAAAGTGGGATCCAGAACCACACTCTCTCAACTCTACTGCCAGTACTCTTAACTGCTCCACTATGCTGCTGCATGATGGGAGACGGGGCACCCTTCCCCTTCTTCCAGGAAGTAGAAGGAACCAAGACCGTCTTTTCAAAGTGACGGGAAAGGTAAAGGAACATTGGCTTGAGAAAAGGTTTCGGATCATCACTGTGAAGAAGGGGAACACAAGCTGACTAGAGAAACACAGTGGGATTATCTTACAGTTTAGGAATCCATGCAGATTAATAACCTTAATTTATAATGTCACAAATATACTGTTTTGTGATTTTTTTTCTATCAGTGCTCAGCCACCTTGGTGTCAGCACAATGCAAATGGATAATTAGGTTCACAGGTGGTTATTAACTACAAAAGAAAAAAGTATCTTTACAATGGAGAGATCTGGCAGCTACCACCTCAATCACGTGATCACATGTAGGACTACCAACAGCGGGACATGCATATATGTATCCCCTGATAGGATGCAATAAGCAAACGACATCAGCTATGAAGTATGTCAAAAATGTAACATGAACCTAATTAAGAGGACAGACCCAGACAAATAAAAAATCTAGAATGTAGGACATTCTACAAGACAACTCTTATTCAAAACAGTCAATGTTATGGTTTAAAAGAAAAAAAAGAAGAAGGGACAGGCAGGACTATTCTAAGATTAAGAGACTGACGAGACATAATAACCAAAAAATATAAAGCATAAACCTCAATTTGATCTTACATTTTTAAAAAAACAAACATTTTGGGGACAGAGAATTCTGATTCTAGACTTTATATTGGATGACATAAAATTATTGTTAATTTTCTTCATAATATATTGTGGTTATTAGGTAAGAGAATGTCCTTTTTCTTAGGAAATGCAGGCTGAAGTATTTAAAGGTGAAGTGCCATGATGTCTGCAATTTACTTTCAAACAGTTCCCCAAAAAATGTATATTATATTTATATCTGTATATGTGATATACACTTACATGTATGAAAAGAGACTGAGAAAAGGCAAATGTGGAAAAATGTTAATAAGTGGTGAATCTAGATGAAGGATATATGAGTGTTATACTCATGACAAAATAATTCCATGTCTGGAATCTTAGACCAAGAAAAGTGTGAAAAACAGAAAAAAAGTTACACACGAAGATATTCATCACAGTATTACTTACAAAAGCAACAAACTAAAGGCAACTTTAAACACCCAGCAACAGCAGAATGGTTAAGTAAACCATGATAAAGCCACTAAATGGAATATTACTTATTAGTCTCTTAAAATCTTCTTCTTTAACTTTTAAGGGTGGCTGTCTATCTCTCTGTTGTTTTTTCTGTTTTCTATTTGTCTTTATTTCTTTTTTCTATACTAAGCAAGCACTATTTATACAAAGAGAAATGTCAACTAATTAATTTTTTTATGCACAGGCCTCGCTCAGATACAACTAATTAAATTTTTTAAAGAATAGTAAACAGTTCAGGTTTACTTAGCCAAAACCTATCAATTGACTAGTGAAACGAATATATATATATATATGTATGTATGTATGTATTTTTTACATTCAGGAAATTAGACTATTCTTTTATAAGATTTTACAACTGTGCAACTTAAAATTCTAAATGATCAAACAAAAATACTTATAAAATCTTAAGGATATACAAGGTATACATTTAGTCTAATGGGAAAACTATTAACTATTGGAAATTTGATAAATTATTTGGGAAATTATTATCCCAATGGTAATTTCAATAATTTTAAATATGAAAATACCCAAAGTTGGAGAAAGTCATTTTTCTAATCACCAAGACCAAATAAGAATTTCTGTTGGAAAATAACAAACGATTGGTGATTTTACTAATTATTCTAATAGTGGGGCTCTAAGTGAAAAAGACAATTTGGAATCTCTGGGAAAATACTTATTTCATGTTTACATATTTGGCTTTATTGTAATTTGGCTGCCTGATAATATCCTAGAGCAGAAGTCAGTATCTTTTTACTTCAAATTATTAAGATAAAAAATTTTAGACTTCTACATTTAAATGCCATAAAATTTCTACGGATACTGGAATAGAAATTTAGGAATAAAGAACAACATTCAAATCAGACAAAACAAAACCAAAACTTAGTATTTAGGGAGACGCACTTAGGTGGCAATACAATCCAAAAAGTTAGGAGACAGGTTAGTTTTAAAGAGGAAGAAAGGAGTTGCAACTAAAACATAAGAAATATACTACATCTCTTCTGTAGCAATGTTTCTGTAATTTCAGTAATGTTTCTGTAATTATAGAAAAACTCAGCTCAACCACAGAAGAAAAAAATTTCTTTTTGCCTATGAACAAAACACATATACTAGGTTTTCTAGAAAAGTTCAAATTTCGTTAAATTTAAATTTTTTAACAAAAGCACTTTATTCAATGAATACATAAATATGACTTATTAGCTTGACTAAATAAATTCAGAAATCGGAAAAAATAATCCTTCCTCAAAATTTGGAGTCCTGTTTTTTGTTCTGGAAACAGTTGGAATGAAAACAGTGTTTTAGTTTCTTTTCTCATAATTTAATTTAGAGCATTTCTTGTCCTTCAGAACAACAAGTGTAGGAAATCAGAATATGCCACCCCAAAATACGTCACTTCAGCATAAGTATTATCTTGAGCTGAAGACAAATGAGAAGCAGCAGATGCCAAAGAAAGCTCTCTGCTCACCCCGACTTGCCTAAAAGTAGGCTTTAGACTGTTCATCCCCAGAGACCTTTATCAGCCCAGAGACAGGATTTACATAACAAGCCTTGCTAAACAAACCTTATCTTCCATTAGTTTTCCCCCTATGTCTAGCTTCCCACAGTTTGTCATCCTTGGAAGCCTCAAACCTTTTTCCTTTTGAAGCTGGATACCTGAGGGTTACTGTAAATATTCGATAAGAACATGGGTACCCTTCAACCTTGTTCCCAACACATACACAGATGAAAAGAAGTTAATCTTGTTAATTTGCTGTTTTCTTGGTTAACCTGAGGGGTGACTCAAGGGCCACAAGATTTATTAGCTTATTTTGCACAAGAATAGCATGCCTTAAGGAAGTTATCACCAGATAACCAGCCCCCAGCTGCCACTGATGCCCAGAAGTCTGATTGCCTGAGGGTTTATCTGAGTGAAAGAAACACGGATTTCCCCTTTGTTTCTCTGAAACTCCTCCTCCCAAGCCCCTCAGCTCTACAAAGACCCCCTGCTTTCTACTTTGTTGAGGTGGATTTGAGAGAACCTATCCTCCCACCTTCTCATTTTGGCCAATTCAAATAAACCTTTCTCCATCTCTAAGCATCAATGTCTCAGTGATTGGCTTAACTGTGCATCAGGCACACAAACTTGAGATTAAGGGATTCAGTATCACTTTGTCTAATCACTTCTCCAGAAATTTACTGTTCTTTGTTAAGACACAATATAAAGCCCAAGTTGTATCCACCCCCCTGAGTTACTCATCACAGAATTTCTCCAGAGTATATGCACACTGCACATGTTAATAAACTGTTTGGGGGCTGGCCCCGTGGCCGAGTGGTTAAGTCCGCGCGCTCCGCTGCAGTGGCCCAGGGTTTTGCTGGCTTGGATCCTGGGCGCCGACATGGCACTGCTCATCAGTTCACATTGAGCCAGCGTCCCACATGACACAACTAGAAGGACATGCAACTAAGATATACAACTATGTACCGGGGGGATTTGGGGAGATAAAGCAGGAAAAAAAGAAAAAGATTGGCAACAGTTGTTAGGTCAGGTGCCGATCTTTAAAAAAAATTTAAAAAAATAAACTGTTTGTTTATGTTGCATTTTGTCAGTCACATTTGCAGAGCCCCAATCAAAAAACCTGGGAGGGTAGAGGAAAAAGGGTTTTTACCTCCTCTACATGGACAAAATATTTGGACACTTCAGAAAAAAGACATATAAATGGCCAATAAGCACAGGAAAAGATGTTCAATATCACTAAATCTTCTCTTTCTAGTCTTTTAAAAAAAAGGCTTTGGTCTTTTTAAGAAATGGGAGAGGGGCCGGCCCTGTGGCACAGCAGTTAAGTTTGCACGTTCTGCTTCGACAGCCTGGAGTTTGCCGGTTTGGATCCCGGGTGTGGACATGGCACTGCTTGTCAAGCCATGCTGTGGCAGGCGTCCCACATATAAAGTAGAGGAAGATGGGCACGGATGTTAGCTCAGGGCCAGTCTTCCTCAGCAAAAAAAGAGGAAGATTGGCAGTGGACGTTAGCTCAGGGCTAATCTTCCTCAAAAAAAAAAAAAAGAAATGGGAGAGGGAGCAAAAGATTTAAACGGACACTTTAGAGAAGATACACAAGGCCAATAAGCACATGCAAAGATGCTCAACATCACTGACCAAGAAAATGCAATTAAAACCAAAATAAGATACCACTACACATCCATCACTATGGATGATGATAGTAACTGACCATACAAGTGTTGGCAGGGCTGTAGAGGAAGTAAAACTCTCTTACACTGCTGGTGGGAACACAAAATGGCACAATCACTTTTGGAAAACAGTTTGGCAGTTTCTTGCAAAATTGAAAATGCACTTTCAATGACCCAGTAATCTATCTCTTAGGTATTTACCTGACAAGTAATTTTCACATATTGAGGTATATGGGGTAGCCTTCTGGTTCAAAACTGATTTGGTTTGAACTTGATAAAGAAGCCTGATTTCCAGCCTATCAAACATACACTGTACATCTGCTTTAACCATTAAAGTAAAGAATGCACTCTCTTAAGATAAGAATGCATACTTTCCCTCCTACATGCCAGTACTGGTAACACCCTATCGGTAACGCCCTTATTAGTACTCATGAAGATAAATTCCCTTTCCTGGACATCAGGGTCATGTTGACTTGCTAATCTGCAACTGAATAGCTCTTTGAAACTTTGAAGATGAATATGTGTCCTGGGTGTGTTTAATGTATGTTCTTTGTTCTAGAATGGTATAAAACTGTGCTAAAAACCATACTTCTCCGGAACACTTTGTTTATTTGTGGAAACTACCTTCCCAGGTTATAATCCTCACCATGGCTCAAGTAAAACTCACCTCTCTCTCTTATCCATAGAATAGTTATTGGTTATTTTGCATCAAGGTATCCAAAAGAAATGAAAACGTGTCCAGACAGGCACTAATACATGAACATTCACAGCGGTTTTATTCATAGTAGCTCAAAACTGGAAACAAACCAAAAGTCCATCATCAGCCTAACGGATATGAAGGGGGTAAGAACACGTCACCCCAAATTATGCCTCTTTGGCATACTGATTATTTTGAGCTGAAGGCACTTGAGAAACAGCAGATGCAGAAAAGGCTCTCTGACTTCCCCCTTTCTACCTGAAAGCAGGTCATAAAATTTTCCATGAGAAAGGTGTCTACTCCATACCACGAAGACATTCATATCACCAGAGGCTGGGAGCCCACACCAAAATGGATCTGCACAAACAACCCTACTAAAATAACTTTTATCTTCCATTAGTTCCCCCCATATATTTCTAGTCACTTTCCCACAATTTACTGCACCCAAAAGCATAAACCTTTTTCTTTTGTCTTGTCACTTCTCCACAAAGTTATTGTTCTTTGTTTAAAAGGTATGTAAGCTCTCGGTCTGAACCACGTCTTCAGATCTTTATTTTTCCTATAAGGGCTCCCATGTACACATTAAAATATTAAATAACATTTGTATGCTTTTTTCCTGATAATCTGTCTTCTACCAGCTTACTTCTCAGGCCCAGCCACAGAACCTAAGGGGGTAAAGGAAAAGTTTTCCTCGGCAACAGATAAAATACAGAATTTTTCTATCATGGAAAACTACTCAGCAATAAAAAGAAATAAACTACTGACATACACAACAATATAGACAAATCTCCAAGACATTATGCTCAGCGAAAGAAACCAGACACAAAAGAATATACATACTGTGTTTTCACATATTTGCCACTCTAGAAAGACAAACCTAATCTATAGTGACAGACAGCAGATCAGTGACTGCCTGGGTTTGAGGTGGGTAGGGTGGGGGTTTAGTGGGAAAAGGCACATAGAAAGTCTCTGGGGAATTGGATGTGTTCACAGACTGCGGTGGTGGTAGTACCATGGATGTACAAATTTGTTAAAACTCATCAAAATAGATAAATAAAATGTGTGCATTTTATTATGGGTAAATTACACATCAATAAAGGTGATTAAAATCCATTAAGAATATGTAAAAATATTTATATTGCATTAGAAAATGACTCTCACTGTCCTTATCAAAGCCAAATTACAAAGAATTAAACAAAAAACATTGTTTATTAGTTTGTACAAGTACACTGTGCTAAAGTTTGGGTTGAAAATCCATTGGAAGAACTGCAGGGGCTCTAAAGACTAACCGTCACTGCAGGCTGCCTTGGGGCCGCCTCTCCAGCGGATGGACGTGCTACCTGGCAACTGGCCAAGCGCCTCAACAAGCGTCTTTTCAATGAGAAAGGTACTTTAGCTGATTCTTCGAAATTAAAACACTGGTGCTTAATACATAGGACTACAATGCTCTGGAATCTGAGGTACTACATAAACCACTAGCTGATTAATTTTAATCCATAATCCATACGGTTAACAGAACAAATTGCATGCCTCTGCCCTATTCCTCTCTCAGACTGTCTTAGTCCATTCGGGCTGCTATAACAAAAATACCACAGACTGAGTGGCTTAACAATAAACATGTATTTCTCACAGCTCTGGAGGCTGGGGAGTCCAAGATCAAGACACTGGCAGATTCTGTGAGAGCCTGCTTCCTGCTTCATAGACAGCGATCTTCTCCCTATGTCTTCACATGGTAGAAGGGGTGAGAGAGTTCTCTGGGCTTTTTTAAGGGCACTAATCCCATTTCTGAGAGCTCCACCCTCATGACCTAACCACCTCTGAAGGCCTCATCTCCTAATACCATCACAGTGGGGATTAGGATTTCAACACATAAATTTGGGGAGAACACAAACATTCAGTCCATAACACATACTTAATTTCAGCTATACTTCAAGTTTCTTTATCACCAATAATGACAAATCTTCTTTTTCCTCTGAGGCTGCTCTTAGTACCCATTTCCATCTTATTTCACTTGCATCCTGCACCAGCTTCATGGACGTGAAACCTGTACAGCATACAGGGCCCTGAGCTCAAGGCCCCACATTTGCTTTAATGCTCTGCTGTTGTTATCTTGAAATTCTGGATAATTTTATCTTTGAACTTGTGTATTGTAAGCGAAATTCATGGGACAACGGAGCATGCACATGAGCAGAGAACACATTCACAATACGTGTGTCCACCATTCCTGGCTGCCCCACTCACATACAATATTTGAGATGTCCATGAGCAGAAAATTCCGGTGGACTCACCATGTGTGGGAATTCCAGGAGATTCAAAGTGAGAACAAGGCAAACAGAGACACCCAAAGTCCTGAGAAGCCACACTTTTCATTTGAACCAGTAAAAAGTTTCAACAACAACAAAAAAGTAATGTCCTAAGAAACATGAATGACCAACATACCCTACCGTATCCTTTCTTACTTGTGTTACTTCTCTGTATTAGCCAAACACTTACACTGAAAATGATGGCATAGCAGGGAAGGGCAACTCTCAGTTCCTTTAAATTTAAGGCATTCCTTACACATCAGGAAGCCAAAGGTAGAAAGGTTGGTAGAACATGGATGCATCAAGAAGTGAAATAAAAGCAGCTGAGTTCGTTTTGTGCAGCGTTTCCATTGTTCTGATAAGAACGAAATACATACACATGTACAAACTACGAGACATAAATTGTATAATTTCGACAATTGCATATACAGGTTCAATGCTCTTATATCTGCATTTAAAAGTTAAATTGCACAGGGGCTGGCCCCGTGGTCGAGTGGTTAAGTTCGCGCGCTCTGCTGCAGGCGGCCCAGTGTTTCGTTGGTTCGAATCCTGGGTGCAGACATGGCACTGCTCACCAAACCATGCTGAGGCAGCGTCCCACATGCCACAACTAGAAGGACCCACAACGAAGGATATACAACTATGTACTGGGGGGCTTCGGGGAGAAATAGGAAAAAAAAAAAAGTGAAATTGCACAATATAAAGGTGAACAGTAAAATTCATCCTAATAATTTAAAATATTTATTTTTCTTTACTTAGAATAACAGATAGATGTAAATAAAATACACCATAAGTTGAGAAAGAGACAACAGAAGAAAGGAAAATGTTTTATAGTTTAGTATATAATGATATACAGAATGATATGATACAATGGGAAGTACATATTTGGTCTTTGTCTCTGGTGAACACATCAAGGTGCTGGGAGGGTGACACACCCAAAGAGGAAGCTCTATGCCCCCAGCCCACACTTTGCCCTATGGATCTCCTCCATTTGGCTGTTCCTGAGTTGCATCCTTTACAATAAACCTGTAAATATAAGTAAAGTGTTTTCCTGAGTTTTGTGAGCAATTCTAACAAGTTATGAAACCTGAAGAGGGGGGCATGGGAACCCCCTACTTATAGCCAGTCAGTAAGAAGTACCAGTGACAACCTGGCACTTTCGATTGGCACCTGAAGTGAGTGCAGTCTTGGAGTGAGCCCTTAACTTGTGGGACCTGACACTAACTCCAGGTAGACAGTGTCAGAATGGAACTGCAGGACACCCAGTTAGTACTGGGAAAGCTGGAGAAATGGTGTTGGAAAAGACACACATTTTCGTGTCAGAAGTGTTGTGAGTAAAAACAGTTCCTAGGTACTTTTATTTAATAGCACTTTTTTCCTGCTTTTTGAACAAGGGGCCCTCCGTTTTCATTTTGCCCTAGATGCCGCAAAATGTAGCTGGCCCTGCCTGCATAACAACGTTGAGAGAAGAAAAGAACCCAGACAGGATAACCGTTCCAGGCCCCAAACCTTTTCAGATGACCCCAAAATAAAGATACTCTTAGAGATATCTCTAAAATAGTAAACAAATAATTCTAATGTAAACACTATCTTTTTAAGTAAGTTATTAGAGACCTGATTTTAATTTAATTTAAATTAAACCTAATTTAATCTGTTGTGTGGCGGAACCTAACTATAATACTGAATAACAAAATCATAATGTTAAAGAACACAGCAAATAGGAAAGCAGTATTCCACAGTTAAACCACATACTCAAGCCAAGGAGAATTGAACTCTATTTAAAATAGAGAATAAATAACAATACAACTGAAAACACTCTGTTTAGATTAAGCAACAATTTGCTTAAGTGACAATGTTTCAGTTAGTGCTTCTCAAACTTCAGCATGCATCGGAATCACCTGGAAGGCTTGTTAAAGCAGATTAGACCCCCCAGAATTTCAAATACAATAGGTCTAGGATGGGGCTGGGGAATTTGCAGTTTCTAACAAGTTCCCAGGTGGCCCTGATACTGATGGTTCAGTCCAGGGACCATGCTTTGGAAGTCACTGATACAGGTTAACCAAAATCAATTCCAGCAACAAAATAACTTCAACACGAATCTTTAAATCTTGTCTGAGTCTCCAGACAAAAAAATTAATTTATTTCTCCACAGATTGCTATGATCTGACATGTACCTCTAACTAGGCATTTTGTGCATCACTTACCACCTGAATTCAACAAGCATTTAACAAGCAACTACTATCAAGAAGACACTATGCCCTCAAGAAGCTTACATCTGAGCTGAAGAGATAAACACGTACATCATAGCTTTAATCAAAAAAAAAACTAAATGCTTTCTCCCCTAGTAAATATATATATTTATCCCTAATGGTGACAATGTTGAACCTTGCCAAGCTCTGTGATCCTGGAACAGTAATGGTTAAAGAAACCATTCTTAGCCACATGACTTAAATAAGATTCATGGATGACCCTGTTTATCTATGACTAACCCAGACACAGACCCTCCAAATTCCTATTCTTTGCCTCTGTAGCATAGCAGAATATGCTACCCAAAAAATGCTACCAAAAATACGCCACTTTGCCATAAGGATTATTTTGAGTTGAAGGCAACTGAAAAGAAGCAGATACAAGAAAAGCTCTCTGCCATTCCCCTAATCGCCTAAAAGCGGCACATAATTTATTAAGGTGTCTCCCTTTCCTGCACGGAAAAAGGCAGAACTCTTAATCACCCAGAGACAACTCTAGATTCTTATCAGCTCAGGGACAGGCATCAAGAGGAATCTACATAAAAAACCTTACGAAATAATCCTTGTCTGCCATTAGGTTCCCCCATATATTTATCTTCCCACAGTTTGCCGCTCCAAAAAGCCTAAACACGTTTTACTTTGTCTTATTGTTCTTTGCTAAGATACTGTATAAACCTCAAATTCTAACCACCAGTTTGACTGCCTCCTCACTGAGTTCTTCTAAATGTACGGGTGATGCACATATTAATAAAACTCCGTTTTTCTCGTTTTAATCTCTTTTCTCAGTTCTTTTGAAGGCCCAGTCACAGAACCTAAGTTGATACAGGAATTTTTTCCTTCCCTAAACCTCACACATGATTAGCCAACTTGTGACCTCCACTGACCTATAAGAACAAAACTTTGGTTAAATTTCTCTACTTGGCCTAGGCCTGTGAGTTTTGACCCCCTCTCAGCCTGAACCAGCATATAACTCCTCTCTAGGACAGGCTGACCTAGGCTAAAACACATCCAGGTCTACAGCGCTGCCACCACTACTCATCCTACTTCCCCGACCCAGTTACTCCCAGCCTTCTTTACTCCTCCCTAGACAAGGAGAGCCCTTCCCTGACTACCTTCTGAGACCCTGCAGACCTTGTGGTCAGAGTGTTCTCCTGATTGCAGCAGTCCCTTCCCCACCTTGCAACGGTTCCTTTATTTTTCAATTGTGAGTGACTTTACTTTTCCGGGGAAGCTCTCCCCTTTCACATGGTACCTCAGCAACACCAGTGTAGGAAAAGAATGTATTTATACATCTTTCTACAAAACTACACACCTTCTCTGGCTATCATTCAAGGTTGCCTGTCGCTCGCTTGTAATCCAGGTGCTGCTTTAGTTATACCAACAATTATTATTTCCTAACTCTCTCCCCAAAAAGTGCTACACGTAGAACTACTATATAATTCAAACAGAAGGATAACATCAGACACATCCCTGAGGGAAGAACTCTCAAACTTCAATTGGCTTCACTAAGTCCCCTAACAGTTCCTGACAAGACAGTCAACGTGATCTCCTTCAGAGGAATGACCAATTGTTTTATTTTTTTTAAAGATTTTATTTTTCCTTCTTCTCCCCAAAGCCCTCCAGTACACAGTTGTGTATTTTTAGTTGTGGGTCCTTCTAGTTGTGCTATGTGGGACGCCGTCTCAGCATGGCTGATGAGCGGTGCCATGTCCACGCCCAGGATCCAAACCAGTGAAACCTTGGGCCACCAAAGCAGAGCGCGCGAACTTAACCACTCGGCCATGGGGCTGGCCCTACAAATTCTTATTACAGGGTTCATGTTCAAGCAATCCACTTCCCCATCCTTCTCTACTCCCCAACGAAACCACTTGTTAAACTTCCTGTTATTTTTCCTAATAATTACTGCCAATGATTTTTTTCTTTTGAACAATATCCACTGACAGAACATGAGGATTTTGCACTCTTTGTTCCAACATGCCCCTCTAACCAATGACCTCCCAACATACATAACAAATTATGGTTAAACCCACAGTGCTAATTCTTATATGAGTACTCTTTTTTTTTTTTTTTTT